CAACTTGTAGAAGCATGCGTGATGAAGTAGCCTGTGACGCTGAATGTATATCTTGAATTCGCTGTAAAAATGCAAACAATGCAATGAGGTAGAGCGGTGATGTCGTGCCCAAATGAGTATGATCCCATACTTCCCATCTAAGTAACATGCTTGTGGACTCATTTGACGGCCTTTGATGTCGCGTCATGCTCACTAGCATCATCATCCAAATCGTCGTCCCATTCATCCCTCCTTACACCACTTTGTTCCGCCACTGAATCAGCAGCGCCAGGAGGTGGCGCATCGTCGTCGCTCTCATCCTCGAATGCAGCTGGATCGGCCAGTGGCTGGCTCTCCGGATCCACGTTCCTTCTCTCTTCCGGGCTCGTCCTCTTTGGCGCACCTTCTACGCCTTCATCCGCAGAAACTGAGATGCCCCTCCGACCCCACTTGTTCTTTGGTTGCGTGGTATCGTTGCGCTGTCCAGCGGTTTCCTCGTCATAGTCGAAGTCCATGCTCTTCCTGCCCACGAATCGACCCACGATCCATCCGCGACCCAGGTCATCCGAGTCTACCACGCCGCCGTGTCGGAGCTTCACGCGCTGGCGCGTGTAGTATACCCATGCGAAGTCAATCATGAGAGCCGTCTGTATGGAACCCCAAACCCACGATGTAGGATCGAGATAGTCGTCTTCCTTGACGCCGCGCATGATCCAGTTGAGGACGTATAGGGCGCGGTATGTACCCAGTGTGACTAGGTAGTAGGAGTCGATGACGGTGGGTACGGTGGTTTGACGGAGGAGGAGCAGTTGCGGGATGACGCAGACGGATTCGAGGATTTCGGAAAAGACCCAGAGAATCTATTATGTCAGCATCCAGTCGGGTTTCTGAGGGTGTGTAAGCATCTTACCTTCATAAAGGTGCTGTGCCCGAGAACGTGATCTCTAAACATGAGGTACCAGAATGGGGTGATGAGGATGCTGCCTAACAGACAGTACATGCCAAACTTCCATGCCTTCTCTCGCTCCCTTGTGCGCGCGTATACACTGGTCATCAAGAAAATGATGTACAGCGATGATAGCGTGTAGAATATCTGACCGGTTAGCCGCGTACGTGTAGACGTATGCCGGGCCTCCGTACCTTCAGTGAGAAGTTCCACGTATGCCACCCATCCTTGGTGATGGAAGAGCTGAAGATATCGAGATATCGCGTGCCGAAGACGAGCGCGTAGAGGACCTGGGTGATGAGGGATACACCTGCATACGTCAGCCCATGTCGCAAGCTTCAAGTGGTGATAAAGCCAACTCACCCTCAGCGCTGCTGTTGGAGTGTATCGCCCATATCAGTATGAGCTTCGATGACGTATGCGAGACGTCGCCGAGGATGTGGAAGAGATTGAACCCCGTCATTTTGGGGATAAATAATGCTATGCGACGGCTACACAGCACTAGGCCAGCCGCCTGCCGCCTACGTGTTGGGGCTCAAAGCGCGCTTCCGGCACTCGGTGCCAATAAGAGGATCGGGGATAAACAGGTGCCGGCGCGAGGATGTGCAGCACCACTTCCGGTAGGATTCGGGGTCGACGATAGGAAAGGACGCGGAGGCGATGGGCGGGCTGGTTGGTGATGCGTAATGTCTTCCCCGGGTTTGACGCAAGCTACCACGCTACATGTAACGTGCTTGGCAATTCCCAAGGGTCCACACTAGCGCCTCACATGCGGCCTAGTCGCTCGAGCTAGCCTGGAGAATCGGAACGCGAGGCTGCAAACTCCACATCTGGTTCTGAGATATGTGGTCTAGCTTCGAGGATTTGCAGGAGATTAAAGATTGTTGGCGAGCTTAGACGATGTTGAGAATTGCGTTTGCATGCATGCGTCCCGAGGTCTTTCTCGATAGGCGGTCGGACTGCGCACCGATCCGGCATAGGCTACCGACTGCTTGGTCGGAACGCTCATCGTGACCTTGTAGCTCAGAAGTTTTGATCTACTAAAACTCGTTCTCAGCAAGCGTAACTTTTAGATCGACCCGTATATCACTCGAGGGGCAGCATTTGCGAGGCCGGGTGCCAGTGGATCCGCACTAGATGACCCCGAGAGGCTCGTTTCGCTTTTGAACCACAGCGCGCGTGCTTGTGCAAGTCGAAGTATGCCACAAAAGGATTGCTGCATATCGCACAAAGAGTTGAAGTCAAGAGCGGGACCACATTACAAATGTATGGCACGATAATAGTCGGGCGGTGTGAGGCGCAGCGAGCGAGCCAAGCAGACATTGTGGCTCAACTTACGCCCCGTGCTATTCCGAGATGCGAAGTCCACACAGCCTTGCAAACGAGCGTCTATATCGTCCATAGATCCCGTCGCAGTATTTCAGTAAGTCGGATAGTGAACTACAGCGCCGCATAGGTGCCACTCGCAGCCTCATATCGGTGTTTCTTGCGGCGAAGATCATGGACGCCTGGGTCAGGACTCCAAGGCATCCAACGTGGCGCGCGGGACGGATGGCAGCATCCTTAGGCCAGGTACGCAATCCTTCGCTGTACCCACGTATACTTCGAGAAGGTCATATGAGCTCCGTATCCCTAACGGTGAAGATGTTGCCGACTCTAGGCGGGCATGCAGTGGTTGCGATGTGAGTGGCCAACTTCGTCACTTCGCAATATCTCAGGCAAAAGTGCGGATCCAGCCCTCAGGTCGCGTGCAACAGTGTTCTGTACGGCGTAGTTATTGCAAATAACCGCGATAGAACAGATCCACCAAGTGCCGCAACGTGTATGTTTCGATTTTCACTTCGGAACGGTTGTCAACCGGGAAGGCTGAGTGAATCAAGGCAGATTCTGCGCCCATAAAAAAAGCAAGACAGAAACTGCAAGTCGGAGGACGAACGTAAAACAATGGAGTCGCAGCTATATCAAGAGTCAAAAGGCAGTGTACCAAGATCTGGAGCCGCCGCTTGCTGCGGTCGCAAAGTTCAGTGCGTCACCATAGGCACCACCCACGCTCCACTTCACGGAGAGACCATGAAGGACGCTCTTCAACGCAAGAAGTGTCGCAGGTATTCTGCCGATACGAAGCCCCCGACGAAACACGGCAAACAAAGTAACGAGTGAGGATCACCGTTGGAAGACAACAAGGAAGCGGGGTCTTCGGGCGCTGGACCGCCGCACAAACGAAGTCTTTTAGCCGTTCAACAACGCACAGCCCAGATTGACTAGTAGCAGATATGTACCATGGCGGTGGGGGGTCACACCCACTGAGCATTGTGCGGAAGGTCGCTGTCGGCGGTATTCCACGGAGCAGACCCGTGGTGTGGGGCGAGAATCGACATGGCAGACGTACACGCTAGCAAGCGACGTGATGTGGATAGCTGTGGTGGCAGTGATCTTCGCTGATATCGTGAGCAAGTGCTGTGTGAGAGGTGCGACGAAGAGGAGGTGAGTTGGAAGGGTGGGAACAAGGACGAAAGGGGCGAATTAGCGGTCATTGCCCAGCCGAAGCGTATATTAGCGGCCAATGAAAATTACCGCAAGCGTGCATTTAAGCGCCGTCGCGTCCTTCGCTTTCAGCTTACGCACCCTATGCGGGGCAATTTACTGGCTTTGAGGCAGCTCGACGGCACAGCTGTCCAGGCGCACCGAATGGGAAGACACGGCTGGCCAAATTTCCTCGTTGCTGCGCGATGGAGTGCACCCCTTGTTGACGGCATCCTATGGCGCCGCCAGCACAGACAGGTTCGTCAATATCACGCTGCATCGAAAAGAGATTAACCCGCTGGGTCGCGATTGTGGGAGGAGTCTCAGACGTCAGGGCCGACGTCAGGGTGGCCGCCTTACTGAAGGTTACATTCGACTTCCACCCTCAAAAACCACAGGTATGCGCACTAGCCACGGTGCCGTGTAGCGGGCACACCCTGGCCGGCCAGGCGTGTAGCGGAATCCGATAGCAAGGCTGCCGCGACGCCCACACGGTCATGATCACCGTTGTTGCAGGACACCACCTAGAAAACCCAGCGCAGCGTTCCGGGCCAGCAAATGGGCCGGACACAACCGTCGAGCAACGCTGCATGGCTGGCCAATTCGCGGCTCAAGCGCAAGGCATGGCATGCTGGGGTCAGGGCCGCCAAACCACGTAGAGACAAGAGAAGAGCAGGGTGAAAGCTCGGGGCGCTAACGTGCAGGCCTGACCGTCAGTGCGCAGCAGCATCCTTCAAAGCCTACTGGGGGTGGCACGTTAGAGTCGACGCACTAGAAGTGACCTGCACTCGAGGCCGCTATACCGCTACCATCTTGATAAATATGACTGAGGCGTTCCCCTAGCCTAGTCGTCCAGCTCGAGCCTGAATATCATCACCGTGCGCCGCATCCTCTTCTTGCTACCGCCCGTCTCCAGTCTGCTACATTAGCGACCAGCAGTAAGGCGCAGCACATAAGCTTCTTCAAATCCTACCCGCAGCCGCAGTTGTCATGTCTATCATACTTGAAGGTGCTATCCTCCCTCCGCATCATCTCCAAGACAAGTCAGCCTCGTCCTGGCCAAGTCCCTACCACCCTCAGTACTACCCCGCGTTGGCCTCCTCGCCTGGCACTATGTCTCCACAGTCGTTCCATTCATACAATCCACGCTTGCCAGAAAGCCCTTTGCCTTCTCAAGAGCTCAACTGTCAGCCGACTACTGGGTGGTATGCCCCCTCAATTTCGGCCCCAGAGTGCCATAGCGAGGTTTGTACTTCACCCTTGTTGCGAGATCGGCTGCTCATATGCCGTCGTCTAGACCACATACGCCTCATATGGCTATATACCTCCACACACGGCGCAGGTCAACTTGTCACCGCCTGCGTCTGCATCCTACTACTCAGCAACAGCTCCAGTGTCCACTACGCATTCAACAACAGCCATCTCTCCAGGTACCGTCTACTCTCGGGAATCCGTGGTACCAGAGTCAACACGGCCATCTGAAGAGCCCCAATCCGACGCAAGGACTGTCTTGCATCAGCCCACTTCTCGCTACAGGAGACAGTCTCACTTCATGGACCGGACTCACAGCGGTTCAGACTCGTTGCATTCGGCCGCAGTGGACGGCTCCTGGACGATGAACGCACTGGGCATTCATGCGAACCACGAAGCCTACTATCCGGCATTCCCAACCCATAGTCCCCGAGTGAGTGAGCCATCAACAGAGCTATCGTCAAGCCACATGCCCTCGCCACAACCCCGACGCATGTACACACCGATCGCTCCTCTACCCTTGGAGACACCTCGTTCGCACGGAACCAAGCGACAGAGGGAAGACGACGAAGAAGAAGAGCCCAAGCGAAGAAAGCGATCCGACTCACAGATATCGTCCCAGTTTGAGCTCAGTGAGGAAGACCGTCTACTTCTTCGGCTCAAAGAGGAAGAGCACATGCCTTGGAAGGACATCGCAGCACGCTTTGTCAAAGACTTCGGCAGGCAGTACCAAATACCCGCACTGCAGATGCGTATCAAGCGACTAAAAGAACGGATGCGTCAGTGGACTGAAGTAGACGTCCAAGCACTGCGCAAAGCCCATGACTACTGGGTGCAAAACAAGTTCGACATCATCGCGCAAAAGGTATGCACCACCACCATCGATCCCAGGTACAGCCACTGACTCCTCTAGATGCTCGATTACGGCGCAGAAGAAAAATGGACTGCACGCCAATGCTCTCGCAAATGGCAAGAGATCGATCCAACACCCATACCCTACACGCAATTCGACCACCACGTCCAGCACGTCCAGCAAGGCTTTGCACCCTACGCGATGAGCCCCATCGAGCCCACACCCATGAACTTCCCTCCCTTCCTGCACCAGCACCATACCACCTAGTCAACCTCGCCAGTGTCAGCCTCGCTTATTACGGCAGGAGGATGCGGGTAAACCACGCCGCATCGCTCTTCCTTTCTGATTCTTCCACTCCTAGGGATTGTCCCATCGGGACAACATGTCTAAGTCTAAACGCTTCCCGCGATGCGGCACAGACACACCGGCGTTTAGCAAAGCGAGAAAAAAAAACGGGCGGCTTGCATGGGCTTGGGTCAGGGAGTTCTATGGGGCACGACAAGCAGCAAACCAGCGCGCAACGCTTCTTAACGTTCGCCTTTTATGTCATTTATCTTCTTCTTTCGCTCGATACCCTTGCTTAACTAACTACATTTGTTGAGTTATCTTATTTCAAATACATATAACGATCATCTTCATCTCCTTTCCTGTTGTTGAGTCGCAGCTAGATCTCACAGGCCATGTGCGCGGCCCCCTTCTTCTGCTTCCCCATGTGCAACACGCGCACATCACATATCCCTGCTGCGCGTCTCTTCGGTTGTTGCAAGCTTCAAAGACAGCGCGTCTGCATCTACACGTGGAATGAGACAAAACGAGATCGCGTATCTCGCTCCCAAAGCCGTTAAACCCTTCTTCATTTTCCCTTTCTGTCGCTCGCGCGTGCGCTTTTCGCACCGCCCTAACTAACTTTATGCCGCCTTGTGGGGCCCTCGTTTTTGTTCTGGTCCCTCGCTCCTTCTTCAACGGGGCACCCATCTCCGTTACCACACACCCACCTGTGCCGAACTGCGCCGCAATACAGTACAGTTGTGCCGCAATCACGATTGTATCGATTTTTGGCGCACTGGTTTCAGATGTCTTAATAGAAAGCGCTGTGACAGGTTCGCTTATGACTTGACAAGGCTCTATTTATTTTTTTCGCGGCTGCTCATGTGGTTAGTGGACACGAGACAACCGTTTTTTGCGGCAGAGGTTTGGGGCTTGGGCTTTCACCCGCGCGGCTCGCGTGTCTTGAGGGCGGCACGGTGGTGGTGGTGCCGTACCTTCGCGCAGACGGTTTGGAGATGGGTGCGGCGCCGCAATCGGGCCTTTCGTGTCTTGGTGCCCTGCCCGCTATGGAGAAGCGATGGACACTGTTACATTGTGCGTTCCTTCGTGTGAATCCTGTCAAAGGGCACGGGGACATGACGTGCTTTCGCGATGAATGCCAATGCGCGCGTAGTCTGCCTTGACGATGCAGGTCACGCATTCGGGTCTGTTACGTATAGCACTGCGCAATCCGCTCTGTCGCCTGGGTAAGATGCATCATCGCTGTGGCTGCGCTATTTGCTTAGCTATGACGGTACGCATGGGTCGTGTGCCTCCTACCTCCGACTTTTCCGAGTATATCGGTGCTTGTGTAAGAAATGTTAGTAGTAAGAAGGCGTGATCGACGCCAGCATCCCTCGTATACCTCCATTCCAAGCTCGTGACTGGTCAGCATAGTCAGCCCTATGTGTAAGCTACGTGGTACAGTCCCTTCTCCACGCGAGCACGTAACAACTTACCTACATGCCACTGTTGTTGTATGCATGGGCTCATAGCGCGAGTATGCTAGGGGGTCTCAGCTACGCACACCGTACCTATCCTCGTCATCATCCCCTGCGTCTGCCACTATCTTACTGAGGAAGTTTCACATTCTTAGTGATGTCTGGTCGAGACCATTCTTCGGCAGATGCACCAAGCACTGACAGACTGATTTAGCCAGTGCGATTGGAAGGCACGGGTGCCATGCGGTCTCCTGGGGCGTAGACCAAGGAGATCAGCAAGATGAACGGTCCTTACATAACGCTGTGCCGACTTGCGCAAGTGGGTAGATTCTGATATTGACATCGAGCACTGAGCTCATGCTGATGTTGCGGAGAACAGGAGCTCGGCCGTATCAACCCCCGGCTGATGGACTACCACAGGCGTATAGAGGATGGTAGTATCACATCTCCACACTATGTGGGGATCTGAGTAGGAACGCCGGCTCCTATGTGCCGTGACATTGTATCTGTCAATCAAGGGCCCCGCAATCCTGAGTTCCCCTTAAGCTGTCAGTCGCTCTTCAAACGGCACGGGTGGCGCCGGTATGCACGACAAGAACTCTCGTCACACTGTCTATATCCTTCAGTGCTGCGACATCCTTTGCGCCGAGTGCTCTGCTATACGCACTGTAGATGTAACAGGTGGACGAAGTCTACGTACTGAGTGTAAGCACTGCGGTCAGAAGCTCGAGCTTCATGCATGATGCCACCGAGACCTTCGCGGCAGTTTCAATCGACGCATCGACAATGGCTTCGAATACGGTCTGACGTGTACCACACATCTACCAGATCCAGCACGAGCACGGGTAGAAGTAGAACCGAGACGATGCTGATGGACTGCGCGGTGTAATATCATGCATCTGGTGCCTATGACTGGTCAGCGCGTTTCGAAATCTGGTGGATGGCGACGAACGATTTGCTTGGTGATCGCCCGTGGCTTGCTCGGAAGGAGGGAGCTTTCACGTCACAAGCCCTAGTCAGCTTACATCCGCTCGCCAAGGCAGTCGCGGACCGCGATGAAGACCGGTTCGTTGCGCATGTACGCAGCTTACTTCTGCTCGACGTCGCCAGCGGCCCGAACGGCCCTACGCTCGAGTTGAAAAACGGCTGGTAGCGGCCTTTCGCGTAAAACTTCCAATGGAAGTGGTGGTAAGAGTCAGGATTTAGTTGATAGACTTCTTCTAGAAGTCTTAATAGGCTGCTTATCATCTTAGACTAAGCCTCCGAGAACGCGCTGTGGCCAGTAGTAAGCTTCGTCGTCCGCGTGTGCTGTATACCCCCACGTTCCTGCGTCGTCGCGCATCACGCAGCGATCGGAACCTACCGCCATTATACTTGGCTAGTCGTTGACCGCTAACGGCAGGACAGTGTTCCACGTTCTTCTTCCGAGCATGAGTGCCAATAGCGGCGAGACTCAGACGCAGGATGCGGACATAATAATTATTTAATTATTTATATATTTCTATATAAACAAAATACTTATAAATTAGTTATAAAGAAGTCTTTAAAAGGGTTTTTAAGTTTTTAAAAGAGATTATAGGCTTAGTATAGCTACGTTCTATAAGTAGTATAGTATATTTTATAGTACTCTAAATATAGAATATTTTATAAGTAAAGCTACTACTTATAATAGTATATTAAAAAGAAACTTTTAGCTCTAAAGAAATAATATATCTAATAATAAAAAATAAAGCTAAAATAATAACTACTATATTAATAAGATCTCTACGCTTAGCTCTAACTTATAGCTAACTTACTTAATATAGTATAGCTTAAACTAAAGTTCTAAGTATATAGTTAAAGATATTATTACGTACTAAGAATATTTATATATTTAATAGAATATAAAATAAGATATAAAGAGTTAGACTTTATCTTTAAAATATAAGATTACTTTATAAGTAATTTACTAAATAAAGTAAAAGCTCTTTATATATATAGCTTAATAAATAGATACTAATAATATTATAAATAATACTATAGTAAAGGCTTAGTTAGAAAGTAAGAAATAAGCTCTAATTTAGCTCTTAAAAAGAATAATAAGCTAAAAAGTTCTAAATAAGAGTAAACTTAGCTTTTTAGACGTACTTAAACTTTATAGTAATAACTAAGTTATTAAAAAGATATTAGCGTTTAAGTAGGTAGTAATAAGTACTTATATCTTAGTTATTGTAAAGTATAAGTAATAGGTGCTTAATAGAACTAGCAGCGTTAATGTAATTAAATTATTTATTAATTGGATGCGGACTAGTACACTCGGGGTAGGTGACATTGTTCGAATCTTCGGGATCTCCTCCGCATTGCCGAGCACGCGATAAGACAACGACCAGAGTCAGTGGAAAACGATCCTTGTAGCTAAATATGACGCATTGAGCGACGGTTGAGGCTTGCGTCGAGGGGTTGAAACAGATCAGGAAACGGTTTGACTGGGTCGTGAGGTAGATGGAAGGGCAAGCAATGTGACAATGACAGAGGAGCTGCAGTTGACGACTCGACCGGGTTAGTGTTTCATGATCTACGCCCCACATTAGCAAAGGAGTGGAAGCGAAGTGTTTCCCGTCCCTACGACCCAGACGATAGAGTCAGTCGATAATGGCAAATATTGTTGAACTGCACATGTTTTAGCCGCATCGCATGGGTTTCTAGAGGTGGCACAGAAGCGGCCAGATGCTAGACCCTATGAAGTCACCCTGCACGTGCGTGTCGTGTCAGCGTGCATCCCTTCACGGCTCACCGGTGGTACTACAGGCTGCCGAACCACTCGTTCACGAGCTCATGGTCGGACAAGCTTCAAGGCTACGGCAAAGATCGATCTCTATTCCGATAATGCGATCGGCATCCATCGAAAATCAGTCGTACAAAACTCTTCGGCTAATGTTGGAAAGCTGTCGTGCTACACTCCGTGGAGTTGAGAAACGTAAACCGACTCCTGAGACGCTGCCGGGGTGCCGAACCAAGGGCCAGTCTATCGGTGTGTCGGAGGAACGAGTTAGGCCTGCAACCTGCTATCCTCTTGCAGAAAGCACATACTCTTTACGCGACCCAGAGGTCCAAAAAGGAGGGGGTTCGGGACGTTTCAGGTCCGTGGGCTCGCATGCGCAACGTGGTATTGTAATTATCCATAGTGTCAGGCGCCTATTCGCGTGCGTTCGCCCCACCAGCTTTCGCCAGTCTGCAGCGTCTTCTCCAGATCTTCTTCGGCCCTTCTAGCGCTGACAAAGGGCCCGTCATCTCGGATCCCGTGCAGCTGAGGCCCGCGAAGCCACCTGGGGTTCGCATGAGAGCTTGGAGCTGGATGCCTGTTCTGCTTCGCATATATGTGTTGAGCGTAAGAGGCGTCAATAACGGCGGTGATCGCTGGGTAAATAGTTGCAGAGTGACAGGAAATAGCGGCAATTTGCCTAATTATGTGCGGCTACATTAGGTCGACTTGCTGCGTCATATGTCCTTAAGTGGTGGCTGCGAATTGATATTAATATTGCCGTTTTGGGACGAACCTTGTGGTAAGAGGCGCATGCGCCGTTGAGGTTAATTTGGTAGTAAAAAGACCCAGAGAGAAGCGGTGATGATGAAGTATCTCCAAAGTCCGACGGACTGACGATGATGGAGTTTTGTTTCGCTGCTGGGTGTAGCTAGGTAGGTACTGACGCGTCATTAGTCTTCGGCCTTGGCGCTTTATGTCCGCTATTTCCAGGTTCCCCGGAGTATACTCCTACAGGTACCATCCCGTCTTTAAGGCAACAGCTGCTCAAGATAGATAACCATTTCCATCATTCCATTGCAAAGGTACTATGCGCACTGCTGCCCTCGCGAGATTGTCAAATCTGCGTTCTCAGTTGCCCCTTCCAAGACCACCACGGTCCTTCCATACGTCATCTGCAATCATGGCAGCGTTCACTATCAACTCGCAACAGACCATGCCATCAGGCTACAAGATCCCCGTCCTCGGATATGGCGTCTACCAAACGCCAGCAGACATCGCTTCCGAGGTGGTTGAGCACGCGCTCAAAGTCGGCTATCGCCACGTTGATTCTGCCGTCGCCTACCGGAACGAGCAACCATCTGCGGAAGGCATGAAGAAGTCGGGCATTCCAAGAGAAGAGCTATTCTTTACGACAAAGATCCCTCCGAAAGACATGAGCTACGAAAACTCGAAACAGCACATTGAAAACACCCTCAAGATCACCGGATTCGATTACGTCGATCTCTACCTCCTGCACAGTCCCTACGGCGGCAAGGAGAACCGCATCGGTGCATGGAAAGCGCTCGTTGAGGGTGTGCAGGCAGGCAAGATTCGATCGATTGGCGTTTCGAATTACGGCGTGCATCATCTAGACGAGCTAGAAGCGTGGATCAAAGAGACGGAGGCAAAAGAGGGGAAGGGCAAAGGTGGAGTCCTCAGCGTTAATCAGGTAGAGCTTCACCCGTGGCTCGCGCGTCCAGATATCGTAGACTGGTGCAAGCAGCGGGGTGTGATATGCGAAGCATACAGTCCAATCGTGCGCGCAACAAAAAACGACGATCCGCTGCTCCAGCCACTCGCGAAGAAGTATAACAAGACGCCTTCGCAAATATTACTGAGATGGAGTATACAGATGGTGAGCATAACCACAATGATTTCTTGTGAGAGAGCAAGAAACTGACATTGCGATTACAGGGATTCATACCGCTCCCCAAATCCGTGACCAAATCTCGCATCGAAGAGAACGCCCAAATCTACGACTTCGAGCTCACAGCCGAAGAGATGAAGAGCTTGGATACTGGAGTGTATGAGCCCTGCGCATGGGATCCCACCGTCAGTCACGACTAAAGTCGTGAACATATGCATGTATCTACCGAGAAGCCAACGTAGATTCAAGGTTCAGAGCTCATGTCGTTCCACATCGGAAATCCGTGTCCATAATTTCCCGGGCTTCTACCCGTGGAGCGAGCACGAACATCGGGTAGTGTGGCCACTGATCATCCACCACACACCAGTCTTCCATATCAACATCTGCTTTCGCTTCACATTTTACATGCGCTCTTGGGGTTTCCCAGAGCCAATTCCGTGTCCAGTCACCAATCCAAAAAGTTGCTCTTTCCAGCTCTTGCCCTTGCTTCTTGTCTCGCATGTAAATGAAGATATTCAGCGCATCTTTTTTGTTGAGAAATAGGTATCTGCCGCCTTCTGCCTCTGCGTACTGTTCTCCGAGGGCGCGGAGCTCTTTGTAACTCCACTCCCGTGGCCCGAGTATGTCTATCCAAAAGTCTGCTTCTCGTAGCGTGGGTATGGAAACGATCTTTCCCAGCGTTTCCAAGGGTGAGCTGCTAGCGTTACGGAAGATGTTTATGCTTAGATGCCTGACTTTCTTTGCGCTCTTTCTTATCATCTGAATCTCGTCGTCGAGATCGCCGTCATACCTCCATGGATAATGCTCAGTATCCCAGCGCATTTCAAGACTCTCCAAAGATCCGCCCTGCTGGTTCAGAATATCTTCGAAGAGGATGGTGTCGCGCTCGCCGTTGACAAGAGACAGATGCGTCAGCGTGTTCTTTGGCAAACCGAGGATGAGTTCGCTGTCTGTCGTGTTCAGCGAGCGCAACGCTCGCGACTGCGAGAAAACCTTCCGCACGCTTTCCGGGACGGTGTCCACAGAAAGCTCTTCGATACGCGTCCAGTCCATTGCGTCAAGCCATAGCTCCGCGTTGGTCTTCTCGGACCGCTCTTTCGATTGAGTGCGCCATCCAAGCCAGCTTATCCAATGGCCTTTGTAGGCCCAATACAATGTGTCCATGAAACATTCCAGCTTGCCTGGCGCTAGACACTTCGGCACTTTCCAAATTTCGTGATGCTGCCATGTCTCCCACTTATAGCCTTCAACCTTCAAAGATTTGATATCGGGATACTTTTCACCGCCGAAAGGGCTGAGCGGTAGGTTCATCCGGCCGGGCCATGTACTGCAGGACCTGTAGACACCGATGTCGAGGGTGGATATGTTAGGGCAGGTAAGGAGGGCTGAGTGGGCGGAGTCCCAGGTCGTGAAGGGTGTGACGTCGTATGGGTAGCGGTCGTCGAGGGACCGGGAAGGGTCAGCCTCAATTTTTGCTTCGATGGAAGTGGGACACGGGTCTTTTGAATCCCACAGCGCTAGCGCAGTTGACAAGATGGAAAAAAGAAAGAATACGTGAGTGTAGAGGCGCATAGTAGCTGATGTGCAGGATGGTGAGTGGCAATGTCAGTAGCGTTGAGTATCGATGCATCATCTAGCCGGAGTCCGCCTGATATAATATCTGTTTTGCTACAGGATGATTCAAGCTATGCGTGATGTTGTTATGTTGTCTTCTTGGTGTTTTTACTGCTGCCTGAATGCGACGGCCTCAACAAGGCTCTTGCACGACTTTCAGGCGTCCAGGACTGCGATTCTTGCGCTGTGGACACATGTGTGTTGCTGCTGAATCCTCGTGGCACTGCCCAGTGTGCTTTTTTACGTCTCCAGGACACCTTTACAGGCGTTTTTCTGCAGCCTGGCCAAATGCATCTCCTTCTCTTGCAGTTGCGTACGCTCGTCGTGTATGTTTGGATGGGTTGAGGAATTGAGATGGATGGCACAAGCGAGTCATCTCGCGATGCGGGACGAGTCATGCAACGAACCGCTTTCACACGCGACGCGACGTGTCTTCTTCGCGTACAAGGTCGCCCATCAGGCTGATGACGCAAAGTTGTGCCGAGGTTGTCCGAGGCAGAGCATCGAAGTTTATGCAACACGTCCGACTACCTAAGTGGAGAGGCGGGTGAGTGTGACGTTTCTAATGGACAGAAAGCGCCTACGTCATACTGACCTTGCAGCGAAAACCATAAACATATACATCAACCCCTCATATCGCCTTTTCCCATCTCTTATACAACACAGCTTGATACCCATTTGACTTCTCAAATTTGAAAACCAAAAACAACTAATTCCCATCAACCTACACATACAACCCCAAATCAACCATCATGGCGGCAAGCAAGAAAGTCCTCATCGTCCTCTCCGACGCGTCCTCCTTCCCCCTATACAACACCGGGAGTGATGGAAAGACCGTATCTCAAGACTCAGGCTACTTCCTCATGGAGCTAGCGAAGCCTCTGCAAAAGATCCTCGACGCCGGCTACGAAGTCACATTCGCATCACCAGAGGGCAAAGAACCCACACCAGACCCACTCAGCGTGTCTCTCGCAGCCTTTGCCGGAAACTACTACGAGAAGCAAAGAGAGCTGGAACTGATCGAGCGCATGAAGAAAGAGAACGGCTTCTCGCGACCAAAGAAGTTTTCCGAGATCAGCGACGAGGAACTGAAGAACTACGGCGGTGTCTTCATCCCCGGCGGTCACGCTCCTTTGTCCGACTTGGGCGACAATGCGGATCTCGGTCGCATACTCACACACTTCCACACTTCGTCGAAGCCAACGGCTGCTATCTGCCACGGACCTTGGGCTTTTCTGAGTACCAAGTATGGTCCCAGCAAGAAGTTTGAGTACGCTGGCTACAAGATGACGAGCTGGTCGGATGCGGAGGAGAAGTTGATGGAAACGATCTTCCGCGGCGAGATTGACAAGGTTGAGGGTACGCTCAGGGAAGAGGGTGCGGATATGCAGGAGGGTGTTGCTAAGTCTATGGGAAGTATTACTGTTGACAGAGAGCTTGTTACCGGCGACAACCCGATGGCGGCGAATGCGCTGGGTGACAAGTTCTTGGAGATGATGGCTGCAAAGTAAATGGGAATTGGTGGAGCGCCCGCGATGATACGGTGTTATGTATGATTAGATGAGCTATGAATTTATGCCCAATGACCACGTCGCCTCTTCCCAAGCCCAGTGTTGGGCCTCATGCCGAACTCTTCCTTCCTATACCTAACCCTCATTCTCTCTTCCACGTCGCCCTCAAAACTCCCCAAGCACTTTTGCGCCTTCGTCATCTTCCTCTCCACCAACCTCCTCAAACCTACCGCTGTCGGTCTTCTTGCCGATATACTCTGATTACACAGTTCAAATATCCGGATCAAATCCCCCGTATAGTTTGGCTCATCCATCGTAGGCGCCAGCACAGGAAGGGTATGCTTAAAAAAGCGACTTTGAGATGGATCTGAATGTATAGTATTAGTGATAGCCCCGTGCCAAAGGCCTTGAGCCTTGTGGGGACCGAGAAAACTGTGCATCATCTCCCAGAGTACGGTGCCCAGAGACCAGATGTCTGTTTTGCAGGAAAGCGGCTGCCTTTGGAAGTAGCCGAAGCCTCGGGAGTCGGGGTCTAGAGTGTGCAGCTCGATATTGTTCTCGGGTGCAGCGTAGCCTCGGGTGAACAAGTGGTACTTCTTGGTGTACTCTTCATATCCAAAGAGCTCGAGCATGTCGTCGAGGTCTGCTAGCACAGGCCGCGGGAAAGAAGTGAAGGGTTCTTGAGGTTCAATGAGGAAGATGTTGCTAGGCTTGATATCGCGATGCACTTTTGGTATCCACCCAAAGGCTTCTGCTGCATCGTCCATACCCGGCGTGTACGTCAATCCGGTTGTGAGGTTGTAGATTGCTTCCGAGATTGTGATGAGAGTGATCCAAAACATGGGTTCAGGGATCTGGTCGTCGGTATCCTGCTGCCATTTTTCCGCACTGTATTCTTCGATGATGTTGGATAGTGTGCCCGCAGAGCAATAGTCCATATATCTTTTCACCTCGTACCTGTGTTTGGAAGTGGGACCGATATGCTCGCCATGATCATGACACGACCAGAATCTATGTTTCAGTATTGCGCCGGAATTGGGAAGGGTGTCGATGATCCGGCAAACTGCCTGTCGTTCGTTGAAGATGGCTCTGTCATCCGTCGTGACCTTTTTGATCACAAAGCGCTAGATCGATGTTAGCACGTATCGGCGACGGGAGGATGAATCTCGTGACTCACGTCCCGCATAGTGTTGGTCTCATCTAGCGCAATGTACAGACGTATAATTACGCGTTTGTCATCATCCCTTTCGTCAGAAAGTGTCTGTAAGGACTGATACCGGAGATTTGAAGCCATTTTCACTGTTCTACATTGAACTCTCTGCTGATGTTAGGGATCGTCGTAGCAGTTTGTTATGGTCAACTGCTCCGATGTTGGAGACATCCTGCGGAAGGTGCTCCTAGATTGGTGTACAGCTGATTTATCGTATAAAGGAAATTATCGAAGTCAAACAAAGGCATCTTTGATATGCTGCGTCGTCGTGGTTTGCCAAAGCTCTTTGTTCTGAATAGCAGTAGAAAGAGCGATGCGTGACGTCATCAAGTATGACGGTCGGATCTCATTGGCGTGAGAAGAGCCTCGCACGTAGTCTCCGCGTGTGTGCGCACGGCGTCAGTAGTTCTCTCCGCGCTATCGAGCGCCATTGCTGATGAATAGAAATCGTGATGATGGATATGAGGAGGAGTGTGACGCTTCGCGACCTTGTCGGAAGCACCTAAGCGAAACGCGTCGCCCCCGGTCCACGCGCCGAGCATCTCCGTCCACTTTTCGCGTCAAACATCATTCGGTGATAACAGCAGCTTTGCAGCACCGAGGCAGAGGTAGATAGTCCAAGAGAACACGACTGCAATTAGCTCTCACCGACCCCGCATCCAAACGATAGCTAACACCGATCATCCTCAACATTCCAATCATCGCCAGTGCCGTAATTGCGGCATCCGTTGACGCCTTCCCCAAGCGCAATGGTGACTGCCACTATGGGCAGGGCGCAGTGTCTGACAGCGGCAATGGAGCCTCTGATAGCACGAACGCTATTGTATTCGACAATGCTCGGCGCGGCCTCGGCGCATTAGCAGCAGCTCCAAAAAAGCATGGTTATAGCATGACGCAGGGCCATCCGGTAACCCATCATCCAGTCCTCGTTGTAAGACTGGGATAGACTCAACCTCATCGCTGAACCGCGATTTGGATACGACACCATGGCTACGCCTGGTTACAGACTCGGCGTTGATGTTGGAGGGTAAGTAATGATCGCCTCAATTTTGCCTCATGGACCGGTGGGAGGCCTGGACGCCCACCCGCTAGCTTCTTCCTGGCACCGGCGGCGAACATGCAGAACTTCCCCGAATCCACAGCTGCCAGCACCTCGCGGCTTGTCTGAACACGGCCCATGTCAAGGAGCGCGGCTAACACGATCCTAGAACCTTCACCGACGGTACGGCCCTTTTCCACAAAGTCGCTTCATCTTTTAATAGAGTGCAGTCTGCGTCATCACCCCAAACGGCGAAGCGGTACGTACAAAAGTGCCGACCAACACGACAGATCAGTCTATTGGTGTGCAAGACGGAGTGCAACAGGCACGCAAAATCCTGAAAGAGAAGTACAACTGGGACGGCAGGTTTGAGTACATACACCATGGCACAACCACAGGTACCAATGCGGTGCTTGAAGGCAAAGGCGCCAAGTGCGGTCTTATCGTCACCAAAGGTCACAAGGACATACTGTCCACACGGCGAAGCCAGATACCAGGCGGATTAGGCTCATGGATGCACTACGAACAGCCCGACCCTCTCGTGCCTCTCGAGAGGACTGTAGAAGTCAAAGAGCGTATCAAGATTGACGGTGAAGTCTTCTACGAGCTGGATGAGGATGAATTACGAAAAGACTTGCAGGATCTGAAGAGACAACAACCGCAAGCAATTGCTGTATCGCTGATCAATTCCTTCGCCAATAGCGCGCATGAAGAACGCATCAGGGCCATATTGAGCAGCGAGTTTGGGCCAGATGTCGAGATCGTCACTTCTACAGATGTATTGCCGGAGATCCAAGAGTACGAGCGTACCGTTACGACAGCCGCCAACGCCATCGTCAAGCCGGTGGTAAAGAGTTATATGCAGAACCTACAAAAAAAGCTCGAGAAAGATACAGACACGATCCGCATCTTGAAATCCGATGGAGACCTGACTTCGACCCAACTTGCTGGCGAGACACCGGTGCGCATCCTCATGAGTGGGCCAGCTGGTGGCGTCAAGGCTGTTTCTCATCTCGTCGCGAAGAACACGCCCTACAAGAATCTCATCACATTTGACATGGGCGGAACTTCCACCGACTGCGCTCTACTTCCGGGAAGCGATGCCATCATCCGACGAGAGACCGCGATCGGTCACCTGTCAGTACGAGCACCCAGCGTAGACGTTAATACTGTAGGAGCCGGCGGTGGCTCTATCGCAATCTTCAATGACTTCACAAAGACTCTACGTGTTGGACCTGAGTCTAGCGGCGCTACACCTGGACCTGCAGCTTACGGAAAAGGTGGCACCCAAGCGACTGTGACCGATGCAAACTTGGCTTTAGGTCGCCTTCCGTCGAAACTTCTCGGTGGAAAGTTCCAATTGGATGTTGCCGCGTCTACAGCTGCAGTCGAATCGATCGCTAAGCAAATGGGTCTTGATACAGCTTCCGCAGCTGAGGGTATCATCGACCTGGTAAACGAATCCATGCACGGTGCTCTGCGGCTAGTATCTGTCGAGCAAGGCTACGATCCACGCGACTTTGCATTGGTTGCCCTCGGCGGTGCTGGCCCACTTCATGGTAACGCCCTTGGTCAGCTTCTTGGTTCCTGGCCTGTCATTGTTCCTCCTTCTCCCGGTGTGCTCTGTGCGCAAGGCGATGCTATTACGAAGATGTCGCACGAGCAGAGTTGCACATATATCCGCGCATTCTCCGACATAACCGAGGAAGAGCTTAAGGAGACATTACTGGATCTCAAGGCTGGTGGTGTGGAAATAATGAAGACTTCGCTTGCAGACGAAAACGCTGCCCTGAATGTCGTATACCAAGCCGATATGCGCTACAAGGGCCAAGCTATGACACTTACCGTTGATCTGAGTTCTGATGAGTTTAACAGCTCAAACAAGCTTGTGGATGTCTTCCGTTACAAGTTCAATGAGGCCCACCAACACCAATTTGGCTTCTCACACGCGCATGCTGAAATGGAGACAATGCGCTTACGTGCCAAAGTCATTGATGCTTCTGAAGAGGTGGCTTTTAAGCCCTTGCAGGATGCTCCTACTTCTGAACCTTGCAAAGACGCCATCACAACTAAGCAGGTCATTGTCTGGGATGGGAAGAAGGTCGAGGCAACCTTCTGGAATCGTTCCAAGATCGGAGGAGCTGGCAAGATTATACATGGTCCAGCGGTTGTTACTGAGATGGACTCGAACACTCTCATTCTTCCTGGATTCTACGGAAAGATCGACTCCATGGGCAACATACTCATCTGGCCTACCGAGAAGAAGGAACATGGAAAGGCCGTGCACACCAAAGAGTCAGCTCAAGCATTGATCAAAGAGCAGCCAATCATCGCTACGCTCATCGCCTCTGCATTGGGATCTATCAGACGAGAGATGGATGCTCTTCTACTTCGTTGCGCCATGAGCCCAGCAATCCGCGAGCAGCAAGATGAGTTCAACGTCATCACCAACACACGTGGCCAGATGCTTGTCGGTCAGTTTGGATCATTCATACAGCAGTTCCTCGACGGCTGGAACGGCACAGTCGAAGAAGGCGATGTGTTTGTCACGAACGATGTATACCAGACCGATGGCGCCGTATCGCATCTCAACGACGTCATCGTGATACTTCCCATTTACTACGAGCACAGCCTTATAGGATGGGCTGCAAATTTTGGTCACATAACCGATGTGCAAGGAAAAGTACCAGGCTCCATGAGTATCAACGCAAGCACCATATTCGAGGACGGGATTCAAATACCTATTGTCAAGCTCTACACGAAAGGCGTATACAACGAGACTCTCGCGACGGTACTCTTCCGTAATTCCCGTGCACCAGACTGGTTTGAGAGTGACCTCATGGCGCTCGTTACCGCTTGCAGCACAGCTGCTACGCGTGTTACCGAACTATGCGAGCGCTACAGTCTGGAGGTATACGAGGCAGCTGCGGATTACCTACTGGAGCAGAACAAGCTTGCCATTAGCAGGATCATCAATGACAAAATCAGCGATGAGGTGTCAAGCTTCACCGATTTCATCGACGACGATGGGCAAGGAGTTGGTCCATATGCCATTACCTGTTCCATGAAGAAGGAGAACGGGAAGCTGATTTTCGATTGGGATGGCACTTCGCCGCAGTCAAACAGCTCGATGAACTTCTATCTGTCTATCACGTTGTTCAAGATGTTCATCGGTTACCATTTGCTCGCCATCTACGATCCGTATGCTGTGAGTAAATCATGCGCCAGATTATCACGAAACGTTACTAAGTCTGTTAGGTGGTGAACGATGGATTCCATGACTTGCTAGACATCAAGATTCCGGCTGGTACCATCCTCCGTCCCGTGCGTCCAGCAGCCGTCAGTTGCCGCACTCATCTCCTCGGTCGGATCATGGACGTTTTGCAAGCGCTATTCGGCCAACAAAACCCCGCCTATCGTTGTGCAGCAGGTTTCTCCGACTCACCACATCTCTTCTACTCTGGTTTCAAGCCCGATGGCGAATTCTACTTGCTCTACCAGATCGGGTTCGGTGGCGTGCCTGCGCGACCAATCGGCGACGGACCAGATTGCCACTGTCTCTTCCCAGCTATCAAGTCCATCCCAGCTGAGAATATCGAGCTCTACTATCCCGTCATCATTGAAGCCAACGAGGCATTGCCAGATTCTGGTGGCGCTGGCTTCTACCGTGGCGGTAATGCACAGAGAAC